CTTAAACTCACACATTCCACAGATATATAATATTTGATAAAAGAACAGTCAAATTTTTATTTAAGCTTCAAGATTTGTAAAATAATCTGTCAGCAAAAAATTACAAAATTTTTACTTAACCTCTAAAACCGTTCAGACTGTTATGGTCTAAGTAATGCTAATGTTTTACAATTTATTCTTGCTTCATTTAAGCCCCAATCAAATGTCGATGAAATGTAAACTAATCTTTAGCTACTCTAATTATTGCAAGCCCATTTTGATCTTCAAATAATAACTCAAAAAGAGAAAAAAGGGAGAGAAACTCAGAACTAGAGAACAGGAATAAGGATAGTGATGTTTGCTTTGAAGTTTAGAAAGCCTTCGCCCAAATAGCAGTATGGCAGCCAAATAATGCTCTACAAGTACCCCGAAATATTGAAATAATGAGGTATTAATAAAAACAAAAAAAAAGCTGATAATTTTTGGAACCGTGATAAATATAACACTTAGCGCAACTTGCTCTGTCAGATTATCAGATATAATCTAACAGACAAACTTAATAAAATTCAAAATAATGTTTTTCAATGCAGCTGTAGATTCCATTAGCACTAATTTGGAGTGAAACAAGAAATAAAAATTAAAAGTTGGTATCTCAACATTTATTTATTGTGTCACCTACCAGCAATAGCAAAATATTAATCTAAACTTAAGTTAGGCGTGGTTCTCTCAACCAATGTCAAATTATGTGCTCATGCAACTATTGGTCGCCCGCATTAAGCTCCTCCTACTTAATCAAACAGAATAATAATAAAAGCGAATCACAGGTGCTCCCAAATTTTACATATTATTACCAGCTATTTACAACGTGTAAACAACTAGGAAACAGTAAAGAACTAACCAACTTCTGAAGCCTGAATATATTTGCCGATTCGAGCGAAACTTTCGTTGTACTGTGTGTAACCACCCTTCCGTTTCAGTTCATCGGTAGCACTAAACCACTTTTTGCTATTAATATTTGCCCCGCAAGATGATTTTGACACATTAAATCGGTTTTTGACTGCATCCATTACTACCTCTAATCTAAAGAAATTTTTTTT